CGTGCCCCGCTCCGAGCCTGTGGGAGGGCTCTCGAACGCCAGTTCCCAGCATGGCCGGGGAAGGAACTGTCGTTCCCGACATGCTCTGCGCTAGGAAAGATGGAGACTACCACTCCCGGCATGCCCCGCTCCGAGCCTGCGGGAGGGCGGGGAGATGTCAACTCCCAACATGCCCAAGGCCGGGGAAGGAACTACCACTCCCGACATACTCTGCGCTCGGCAGGATGGTGGGAGAGGAAGACTATAACTCCCGGCACGCTCTGCACCGCAGCCCGGAGCGGGGACCTCAGCTCCCGGCACGCCCTGCGAGGAAGACGCAGCCAAGACAATACCTGCAGGGCTCATGGAGCGGGGGGTGAGACAGCAGCTCCTGCGCATGCGCAGGGCGAAACCCCAGCCTGCACCAAGTTGACCAGGAGATGAAATTACTTTGATCGCAAATGTAGCAAACGGCCTGAGCCTCAGTAGCTGCGCAAGACCCTCCGGCCAGAAACCTCTGGATTGGAGTCCCAGCAGGAGCCTGGGCATACATAGCAATCCCCAGTCCTGGGGGAAAAATGGCTGCTGGCCACCCTTGGAGCCAGCCCCAGCCCTCTCCCCTGGCTCCTTGACTAACACCAGTCCTCAAAGGGAGCATCCTTGTGCCCTGCACTTCCTTTTATGCCCAGCGCACATCTTACCCCAGACCCATTCTTCCTACCCCCCAGCTTTTCCTTTGCAACCTAGACCAGACTGCAAGCAAACCCCCTGCCTGCCTGCGCCAGTCTTTCAGAAGGTGCTAACCCAGGGTGGGCAAAGCCCAGCCCATAGGCTGGATCGGGCCCTCACCGGACTTCATTTCCCAGGAGTGGTGGGACTAGGGGCCAGGGTTGCCATGGAGACCAGCCCCAGCCATGCTGGCAAGGCACTACGTGGGGCCGGGATCTTGCTGCAGTGACAGCGCAGTCTGGAGCTGGGGCAGAGCCGCAACCCACTCCCCGCATACCCCAAGCAGGGGCAGGTCACAGGCCACAAGATCCCGGCCCCAGCACGGATCCTCGCCCAGGCACACACCCTGCCAGTGCTGGTCTCCATGGAGATCTTGGCCCCATGCTATCGTGGCCTCCCAGTTGTTGGGGTCTCCAGGAAAACCAGCCGCAGCGATGCAGGTAGGGTGGCTGGGTAGTGGAGTCTGGCCACCAACCGGATCTGCCATTTTGCCCACCCCTGTCCTAAACACAAACACGCAAACCCATCTCTCTTCCCAAAAGTAATAGCCTCTTAGACCCTTCTTCGCCAGCAGAGGTGGGATTTCTGGGACACTGTCTTCCCAGGATGACTTAGGGATATAGGCTGGGAGTGTTATTGCAAATACGTGAAAATTAAAAGGGACTTCTGATTATATCAGTCATTGACCCAACTATAAAGTTGGGAGACATGTTAGCTCTTGGTCACAAAGTGCCCTCCTTTGGGTCTGGCCTGTTATCATTTACAGTATCTCAGCCCAGACAAGGAAAGGCACTTTGTGCTCAAAAGCACTTTGTGCTCTTCCACCTATTACAACTGGTGCAATCAAAATAAAAGTCACAGAAGAAAAACTTTCCTTCTTGGAGATGTGGAGGCAGGGTCAACTCCCATTGATCTCAGAGGGTCTCACAGTATTCATGAGGAAAGCAAGATGGGCACCTCTAGTCTCTTTGATCCCTCTGCACAATGTGGTGGGATGCTGCACCATTCCACCCCAAGCACCCTTCCGTATCCACGGGGATATAGTGAAAATGTTAGCCTCCCTTGCACATTCCCTTCCTTAAATTCGCACGCTACCCCCACCCCAATGCACCCCACCCCTCCACCCCCGCTGTAGAGATTTTGTTTCAAGAGCACAGCACAGAGCATTTGAATGTTTGCGCTCTTTAATAAAGAAACTCTCTTCAGTTGTAAATAAGTTGAATTTTACACAGTGGTGCCCTCCTTCCATCCCCCAGCTTAGCAGTGCTGGAAGGAATTTGCCAGGGTCTCCCTTGCGAGATCATTTTGATGGATGTCGTGATCAAGAGGCTCAGTCTTTTCAATCTTGTACTACCTGGCAAGCTTCTGGGCTTCCCTCCACTGTGCAGGCCTCTGAGAAAACCCTGGTCCTGTCCTCACAGATTTTGTGCGGTACACAGGCTAAAATAGCTAACTATCTGGGGCAGGCGTGGATCGCTAGCATGCAGGCACACGTGTGGTACCCTACACTCACTTGAAGCACCCACAGGTATGAGGTTGTTCCTCAGCCAGTGGTTCAAGAGTTCCTTCCTGACATCCAAGAATCCAGTTTGTTCCTTCCATAGCTCATGAAATCCTGAAGTAGGCTGCACTCTAGGGAGATGGTCGCCATACTGGGCAAACGTTCCCCACAAGATCCAGGGCATGAGGCTGGAGTTCCTGAAAACCCTAGCATTGTGCACTTTGCCTGACCACTTGGAGGTAATGTGCCAACTGTCCTGGTGGGCCACTATGGAGAAGTAGCCCTTGAGGCTGAAATACTCCAAGCCACTGTTCACAAGACAGCAATAGGCATGCCACTGATAGTCCCAACACAGTTCAGAAACCCACTACAGGCAAATCCAGCTATGACCTCTTGCAAGTTAGGCAGAGGGAGTGAGGTGCTGGCACATGCTAGATAGCACAGCACACCTCCTGGATCCAATCCAACTGTGGACTTGCCCATGCAGAAATGGTTGGTTTACAGATTGGAGACTACTGTGGATTGTCAGCTTCCAAATGACAACTGTCACTTGCTCTTCCGTTTACACAAAACACCCTTACATTGGTCACCTTGTTCCTGTAGCATCAGGGCCAGCTCAGCACAGGTCTTAAACAAGGTCACTCTACTCAGCCTGAAGTTCTGCCACTGCTGCTTGTTTTCCAAAGTCCTTAGGACCCTCCACTCCCACCAGTCACTGCTTCTATCTTTAGCTAAGAGGCAGCAGTAAACAGTCTGCAAGTGGTCCTGAGAAGACTGTCCTCCATGGCATCCCTTATTTCTTCCTCCTGCAAGTCTGAGAATACGTAGCACAGCTCCAGAAGGTGACTTTCCAGTGCTAGTCATTGCATCTTGAACCAGCATACTGAGCACCTCTGCTGGCTTGTGCGTCTCAAACAGGGCAGAAAGTATGACCAGGTATGATGCAAACACTCTGCTATGAGCTGGAGAGCAAAGCCAGCACCTCATGGCACTGCCCTGACAGCCCAAAAGATGAGGAGACAGTAGGTGTTCATTCTCTACTTCAGCTGTGAGTACACAACGTGTAAAATTGATCAGCCCTCCTGTAGCAAAACAGACAAGCCTGGGAATCACAAGCACAGAGAGCAGAAGCTGGCAAATGAGTATAAGACCATTTTCACTTGGGCTGTTCCTTGGAAGCCTTTGGAGAATCAGTCAAGAGGGACATCACTCAGACATTTTCAGGCGCTTTCACTGCTGACATGCTAAATCAAGTGTTGCACATAAAGGCAGAATTTGGGGTGCATTACATGCATGACTGTCCAGTTCATTCTCTTCATACACCTGTCCTTCACTTTCCTAGAATGCTGGAGGATCTTATTTTAGAGCTCTGCCTTTAATACACAGAGGAAACAACTCAGGCTCGATGAAAATATTTTCATTCATTCATACAATTCACCTTGGGGTTTAGCTCTCGCCTTTGCTCTTCCAGACTTTCAAACACATGTTCTACAACTAAGCTCTATACAGCAAAAGGTTCTCTCCAATATTCAACAGCAGAACTTCAGCCACCCAAGACATTCAACAGCCTTATTTTTACTCTCTACAAAGAATATCTGATCTGGGGATATCAAGTACATTTTTCAGTGTAGTTATCCTGGAAATGCAGTCCCATACTTTTTGTTAAATCACCTGAGAAATAAACTGGGCACACCAGCCAGTTCAGTTTGCAGTGAACACCTTGCTGCATCTCTCAGCATCTGACTTCACTTGAAACAGACTGTGAGTCACAATGTTTTTGTCCATGTCCAGTCACTGCTTCAGGAATGTTAGGGATCATATCTGTAAGTGTCACGTATTTGATTTTCTTCCCCCCTCCCCAGATCCCAGACGCTCACACATGAGGAGCCATTTAATTAAAAAAAAAAAAAAAAGACTGTGCAATCTTTTCCTGGATTATCTAAACAGTAAGTCAATTTGTTATCCCAACTAAATTGCATCCTAAATTATACCAGCAGAACTCAGGCCAACACAGAGCTGTGCAGTGAAGTCCAGCCTGATACTAGGTTCTTTTACACCCAAACTATTAACAATTCAAAAAAGCAAACATGGGCATTAGTACAAAATTTTTCCTGATGCATCTTAATGTACATTACTCCATGAAGAGGAATACTTCATCATTCCTTCAAAAAAGGAAGAAAATTAGTGGTTCTTATTCTGCCAAAAAGAGATAGAAAATGCTAAGTCAGTTACAGAATCTGTCTCTCCAGACCACAAAACTTATAAGATCATATTAGGTGGCAGTTACAGGAGAAATTTTAATGGATAAATGTTTAAAAATATGATCAAACGTAATGAGATTTCCTTCTAGGAATCTGTTTTTAAAGAAGGATACCAATTTATATTTTAAATAGTTTTATTTTCATTTTCCCAAAAAGGGAACAAAAAAAGGCAGAGAGGTGTTAAGATACATCACACTATATTTGTGGGTGAATCAATTTGCAAATGTTATTTTACCACCTTATAAAAATACATATACTATTTTGTGGACTACAGCTCAACTATTTCTTGTAAATCTTAAGGGTGTGAAGGAAGCAA